GGGTTATATTTAGGAAGTGATCTCCTATGCCAATGTGTTCAAGACTACTTCCTACTTTCTCTTCTAGCAGGTTCAGAGTAGCTAGATTTATGTTGAGGTCCTTGATCCACTTGGACTTAAATTTTGTGCACAGTGATAGATATGGATCTATTTGCAGCCTGCTACATGTTGATATCGAGTTATGCCAGCACCATTTGTTGAAGATGCTTTCTTTTTTCCATTGTACACTTTTGGCTTCTTTGTCAAAAATTATATGTTCATAGGTGTGCGGATTAATGTCAGGGTCTTCAATTCAATTCCATTGGTCCACATGTCGGTTTTTATGCCAATACCAAGCTGTTTTTATTACTGTAGCTCTATAGTAGAGCTTGAAGTCAGGGATCGTGATGCCTCCAGAGTTTGTGTTATTGTACAGTATTCTTTTGGCTATCCTGGGTTTTTTGTTTTTCCATATGAAGTTGAGTATTATTCTTTCCAGGTCTGTGAAGAATTGTGTTGGTATTTTGATGGGGAGTGCACTGAATCTGTAGATTGCTTTTGGTAAAATTGCCATTTTTACTATGTTAGTCCTGCCTATCCATGAGCATGGGAGATCTTTCCATTTTCTGACATCTTCTTCAATTTCTTTTTTCAGGGACTTAAAGTTCTTGTCATATAGGTCCCTCATTTGCTTGGTTAGTGTTACCCCAAGATATTTTATGTCATTTGTGGCTATTATAAAGGGTGATGTATCTCTTGATTTCCTTCTCAGCCTCTTGTCAATTGTATATAGGAGGGCTACTGATTTTTTGAGTTGATCTTGTATCCTGCTATGTTGCTGAAGGTGGTTATAAGCTGTATCAGTTCCTTGGTTGAATCTTTGGTGTCACTCAAGTATACTATCATGTCATCTACAAATAGGGAAAGCGTGACTTCTTCCTTTCCAATTTGTATCCCCTTAATCTCCTTATGTTGTCTTATTGCTCTGGCTAGAACTTCAAGTATTATATTGAATAAGTATGAGGAGAGCAGACAGCCTTGCCTCGTTCCTGATTTTAGTGGAATTGATTTGAGTTTCTCTCCATTTAATTTGATATTGGCTGTTGGCTTGCTGTAAATTGCCTTTATTATGTTTAGGTATGTTCCCTGTATTCCTGATCTCTCCAAGATCTTTATCATGAAGGGGTGTTGGATTTTGTCAAATGCCTTTTCTGCACCTAGTGAGATGATCATGTGGCTTTTTTCTTTGAGTTTGTTTATATGGTGTATTACATTGACGGACTTTCGTATGTTGAACCACCCTTGCATCCCTGGGATGAAGCCTACTTGATTATGGTGGATAATTGTTTTGATGTGTTCTTGGAGTCTGTTTGCCAGTATTTTATTAAGTATTTTTGCACCAATGTTCAAGAGGGAGATCGGTCTGTAGTTCTCTTTCTTTGTTGTATCCTTGTTTGGTTTAGGAATCAAGGTAATTGTAGCCTCATAGAAGGAGTTTGGTAATGTTCCTTCTGTTTCTATTGTGTGGAACAATTTAGAGAGTATTGGTATTAACTCTTCTTTGGAGATCTGGTAGAATTCTGCACTGAAACCATTTGGTCCTGGGCTTTTTTTGCTTGGGAGACTTTTAATGACTGTTTCTGTTTCCTTAGGGGTTATTGGACTATTTCAATAGTTTATCTGGTCTTGATTTGACTTAGGTATGTGGTACCTATCCAGAAAATTATCCATTTCTTTTAGATATTCCAGTTTTGTGGAGAAGAGGTTTTTGAAGTATGACTTGATGATTCTCTGGATTTCCTCAATGTCTGTTGTTATGTCCCCCTTTTTATTTCTGATGTTGTTGATTTGGATGCTTCCTCTCTGTCTTTTGGTTAGTTTGGATAAGGGCTTGTCTATCTTGTAGATTTTCTCAAAGAACCAACTCTTTGTTTCACTAATATTTTGTATTGTTCTCTTTGTTTTTATTTTATTGATTTCAGCTCTCACTTTGATAATTTCCTGGCATCTATTCTTCCTGGGAGACTTTGCTTCTTCTTGTTCTGGAGCTTTCAGGTGTGCTGTTAAGTCACTAGTGTGAGATTTCTCCAACTTCTTTATGTGGGCATTTAGTGCTATGAATTTCCCTCTTAGCACTGCTTTCATAGTGTCCCATAAGTTTGGGTATGTGGTGTCTTCATTTTTGTTGATCTCTAGGAAGTCTTTAATTTCTTTCTTTATTTCTTCCTTAACCCATTGGTGATTCAGTTGAGCATTATTCAGTTTCCATGAGATTGTAGGTTTTCTGTAGTTTTTGTTGTTGTTGAAATCTAACTTTAAACCATGGTGGTCTGATAGAACACAGGAGGTTATTCCAATTGTTTTGTATCTGTTGAGATTTGCTTTGTGGCCAAGTATGTGGTCGATTTTAGAGAAGGTTCCATGGGGTGCTGAGAAGAAGGTATATTCTTTTTTTGTTGGGATGGAATGTTCTGTAGATATTGATTAAGTCCATTTGAGTCATGACATCAGTTAAGTCCTTTATTTCTCTGTTAAGTTTTGATTTGGGAGATCTGTCCAGTGGTGAAAGTGGGGTGTTGAGGTCTCCCACTATTAATGTGTGGGGTTTTATATGTGGTTTAAGCTTTAGTAATGTTTCTTTTACATACCTGGGTGCCCTTGTGTTTGGGGCAATAATGTTCAGAATTGAAACTTCATCTTGGTAGATCTTTCCTGTGATGAGTATGTAATGCCCTTCTTGATCTCTTTTGATTGATTTTAGTTTGAAGTCTCTTTTGCTGGATATCAGAATGGCTACACCTGCTTGTTTCTTAAGACCGTTTGATTGGAAAGTCTTTTCCCAGCCTTTTATTCTTAGGTAGTGTCTATCTTTGAATTTGAGATGTGTTTCTTGTATGCAGCAGAAAGATGGGTCCTGCTTTGGTGTCCATTCTGTAAGCCTATGTCTTTTTATAGGTGAATTAAGTCCATTGATATTAAAGGATAATTAATGACCAGTGATTGTTCATTCCTGTTATTTGTTGGTGGTAGTGTGCACACACATGTATTTTGTCAATGGACATTTAACTTTAATGAACAACAATTTATCTCAGAGAGAATGTAGGCAGTCATGCAACTATAAGAAATGGTTAATTGAAATCTTTCCTTGATTGAAGCACTGTCTTGTAGGTGGGATAGCAGAGATGATGCTGGATGAGAGGTGGAGACAGTAGGGTCCCATGGTTGAGACCCATCTTAGGACATTGTCTTAGTATACGTTCTATTGCTGACAGACATCATGACAGAAATCAATGCGGGGAGGATAGCGTTTTGTCACTTACATGTTCTGATCACAGTCCATTATTTAAGGAATCGGGTAAGGAATTCAAGCAGGAGTAAAGACAGAGAACATGGAGGGAAGCTGCTGTTGCCTTGCTCTTCGTGGTTCATTCAAACGAAGTTCTTATATGACTCAGGCCCAATTTCAAAGGAAGGAAGTGTGCACAGTGGGCTAGGATCCCATGTTAATCCTTAATCAAGAAAATGGGTCTCACAATCTGTCACCAACAGCAAAACCACAAGCTTAGTTTCAGCTGCTCAACACATTAACCCTCTTTGTTAGTGAGCCATCTTTTCTGGGGAAATGGATGGATGAGGAAAAGATTATATTGAGTAAGAAATTCCAGATCCAGAAAGGCTGATGTCATTAGTTCTTTATATCTTCTGTTCTTAGCTCCCAGTCATCAGATGTGAATATATAATATGGAGGAACAGATATTGGAGGGCTTACTTAGCAGGACTTGACACTTATCCTTTTATTTGAAGCTTTACTGTCAGGAAGAGGCTACCAAGAAGGACTGATTCCTAGGTTTCTATTTGTTTTGTGACATTTGGCTCTTGGGGAGGGGCATAGTTAGCAGAAGCTGAACTCTAATTCTGTGTTGCAGGAAATCCCTAGTAGAACCAGACACAGCAAACACTGTATGAGGGTTTTGGTTACAGGGGAAGGGACAGGTATCTACATCTAGATACCTGTGTGGGGTTTGGTTGAATGGAAGGATATCTAGCAGTAACTGACACCTCATTGTGAATGAGAGAGAGAGAGAGAGAGAGAGAGAGAGAGAAAGAGAGAGAGAGAGAGAGAGAGAGAGAGAGAGAGAGTGTGTGTGTGTGTGTGTGTGTGTGTGTGTGTGTGTGTGTGTGTGAGAGAGAGAGAGAGAGAGAGAGAGAGAGAGAGAGAGAGAGAGAGAGAGAGAGAGAGAGAGACTATTGCTATGGCGGCAGTAGGGGAGAAAATACCTAGCAAGTAGCAAGACCTGGTACACAGACATATATGTATATTTGAGACTTTGTACAGAATGTGGTACTGAACAGGTCCTAAACTTTAGTCATGTGGAAGGCTTGGATTTAAGGTTGTATAACTAGCAGAAATGACTCAAAGTTGTATGTACTCATGCATTCATATGTGTGTTTGTGTGTGTGTGGCTTTGACTGAAGGGGAGATATACCTGGCAGGTGCCCTCTGAGATAGTATATTTGTGATTTACAAAAGGATATTTATTAAAATAACATAGTCAAGAGACAACAGAGGAGAACATCTTGGTGGCCAAAGAACTAACTGGGTCTCTTGTGGACTGCACTGTCCTCTCATTTCTTTGTGGCTTACACATGGATTCAGGGCTCACAATGGAGTGGGCATGGAGCAGGAAAACAGTGCTCTCAGTGCCTGGGAAATTCTCTTCTTCATCAGCTTCCAGCCCCTGAGTGACATGGATCCAGTTGTTGTAGGTTCATCTTGGGGCTGGTCATTGGATGTGTTGGGCCCCATGAATGATTCCTCTGTGGAGAAGCCTATGTTCAGAAACCATGTGTGTGTTCAATCCGGGGCTGATTCACCTGAGGAGAGATCACCAGGCAGGTTCTCCACAGAATTCCTGTTGACTGCAATGTGTCCTGCAGCACTGTTGATGACATTAGCCATCGGGACATCTGCTTGTGGGACAGTTTCATCTGAACAGGGCTTTTTCTCCTGGCTTGAGTATCTATTGAGCATGGTGTATCTTGCGTCTCTTCCCATCTCCCATACTTGTTGGAAAGGCAGGTTCACTGGCTCTTCTCTTCAAGGGGAGAAGGGGCCAAAGAGCACCTACAGGGTTGCCATTTAAGCAGGGATCCTGATTCTGCTGATGGCTGTTCCCACAGCTCAGTTTGTATTTGAGGATATTGAAGGTTGCCGTTAAGTTATTTAGTTTCTTGTGTTTCAGAGATGATACAATCTCCTCATGGGTATAGCCCATGGTGCACATGGTCTCCATGATCTTGGGAAGGATTTCCTTAGTTGCAGGTGCTGCATGTTCTTTGATGTTGCCCAGCCATGGTCTTTCCTGGAGCTGACATATTGTTATTCTGTACTTGCTGGGGACCATGAGTAATTGTTCAATGAGAATGATGCAGGGTTTTGACAAGTGGTAGGGAATGGGATACTTTGTGGTGGTGATGACCCTGTACATACCATCAAAGGTGGTTTCTTCATATGGAAATTGTCCTGTGACCAGTACATGTAGGAGGACTCCCAAGCTCCACATATCTACCGCCAATCCATCATAGGGTTTCCTTGCCAAAATCTCTGGAGCCAAATAGAGCAAGGAGCCACAGACTCCCTCCAACATCTGCCCCTCTGCCAGCTGTCTGGCCATACCAAAGTCACAAAGCTTGACATTGCCAGCTTCGTCAATAAGGATATTTTCCAATTTAATATCACGATGGGCAATTCGTTTATGGTGGAGAAAATGAACCCCTGAAACGACCTGTTGGAATATTGGTCTAACCTCATCCTCCACTAGAAAATGCCTCTCCCCGAGGAACACAAACAGATCCTTTCCTGGAACATATTCCATGATCAGGTAAGTTATTGTACTTGTGTCAATAACATGAAAGAAATGAACTATGTTTCTGTGTTCCACAGATTGAAGTATCTCTACTTCAGTGTTGATGCGAGCCAGGGAATTCTTTTCCTTCTCCAGGACCTTGACAGCCACCTGTGTATGTGTAGAAAGGTGGCAGGCAAGCTTCACCTCCCCAAATCCACCAAAGCCTAGAGATGTTAAGATCCTGAAATCCTTTTCAAGGATGTTTTCTTCCAAACGGCTGGCCATGATGTTCAACTCCATTTCAATCACTTTATCTTGTTGGCAATTCCTGAACTAACAATACCTGAAACAAAAATAAATGCATTTTCAGAATGGATGTTTAGTGCTATGAATTCTGTCATGGAATGTGGGACATCCCAAACAATCTAATGATGCAGGTCAAGGACATAGAAACACTAGAAGAACACAACCTCCAAGCACTAGATGAGGAATCATAGTAAAGGTCAAAGATGGAATTGCTGATTTATATGTGCAAAGGAAAAGACTGAGATCAGAGATAGAATGACTTGGTCATTTTTCAAGAATATATCAAAATGAAAAATCCTGGCCCAAACTGATCAAGAGATTGAAGATACAAACTTACAGGAGAAAAAAAGAGAGGTTATGTCCTAAAAACTACAGTCCAGAGGATCTTTCACGTTTGTTTCAACTCCTAGACCCCAGAAAATTAGAAAATATGAAAGGAATTCATAGATGTGTATGACTATTAAAATAAGATAAAAGAAAAACAGTTAAGACTCGAGTCATAAGCCACAGGTGTGGCTGGTAACAAAAATGGCTTCAAGCCAAGTAGAGCCCAGGCTTCTTGGATTCCCAGAATCTCTCAAAACTTTGGAGAAGAACGAACACTGTGTTGGGAACTTGCTGGTCAACCTGGCACAAATTAGAGTCCTCAGAGAGGAAGGGACCTCAGTTGATGACATGACTCCATGAGATCCAGCTGTCTGGCATTTTCTCAACTAGTGACCAATGGGGGAGGCACTTGTCCATTGTGAGTGGTGCTATCCTTGGGCTGGTGGTCCTGGGTTCTACAAAAAGCAGGCTGAGTAAGCCAGGGGCAGCAATCAGGTAAGCAGCACCCTTCCATGGCCTCTGCATCAGCTCCTGCCTCCGGAAGCCTGCTCTGTTTGAGTTGCTGTCTTGACTTTGTTTGGAGATGAACAACCATCTTGGAAGTATAAGCTGAATAAACCTTTTCCTTCCCAACTTTATTTTTCTGTGTTTTTTGTTTGTTTGTTTATTGTTTCGTCATGGATAGCTTTTTTTTTTCAGCAAAAGAAACCCCAATTAAGACAAACACCAATGTTACAGAAAAGACTCATGAAAAAGAAAGCTAAGGAACGGTATTCAAACTGATCTCAGTGCTGGTATTACCCTGAGCCCACAACCAAATAAGCTCAATGAATAAAGAAAGTACAAACAGCTTTCCTTGATGAATATAGATTGGAAAATCATTAATGAAAGTCTTTGATACTTCACATCCATCTCAGCAACACACTAAAGAGCCCCTCATTCACAATCAAAATGGCCTCACCCAGGAGCATGAGAAGTAAAATTAGTAACAATCAAATTGGAAAACATCATAACGAGTAAGGAGACTGTGGAGAATGGTCCACACTCAGCACCATGACTAGTGTTCTCTTGTGTTATAAGGAAAAAGCTAAAACTAGATGTAGTTTTATGTGAGACAAGGCAGGTCCACAAACAGAAATAGGATATATGTTGTCTTCTTTGGGTCATGAGGAAGGAGGAGGAGGCTGAGCTCTAGTAAAAGTCATAGTATCAGTCACAAAGCTGTGGTAGGGGTACTGAAATAGTGCAGGGCAATATGATCAAGGTGAAGTACAGGCATATATGGAAAAGTTTTGTAGTACAAAATCTAGTAGGTCTTTTTACAAAAGTCCTGGAGCCAGATTTTGGGGTAAATGCGGAAAGATCAGAGAGATAAAGGAACAAACCACTGCCAAGTCTTAGCTCTAAGACTCCTCAGCCTGAAAAGCTTTAGTTCCTGTCTCCTCATACCTTCTATACTTTTCTCTTCCCAGCTATCACTTCCTTCCTAGTGCTGGAATTAAAGACATAGGTGCTTCCCAAGCAAAGGCATGAGCTCCCAAGTGCTGGGATTAAAGGTGTGCCCCAGAATTTCCTGGCTCTGTTTCTCTCCTAGACTGATTTAATCTCATGTAGTTCAGGGTGGCTTTGCACTGACAGAGATCCAGACAGATCTCTGCCTCCTGTGTAGCTGGAGTTTTCCTGCCTGGCCCACAGTCAGGATAAATCTCTCTCACCTGCCAGTCCCACAGCCGCTCAGACCTGACCAAGTAAACACAGAGACTTATACTGGTTACAAACTGTATGGCCGTGGCAGGCTTCTTGCTAACTGTTCTTACAGCTTAAATTAATCCATTTCCATAAATCTATACCTTGCCACATGGCTCGTGGCTTACCGGCATCTTCACATGCTGTTTCTCATCGTGGCAGCTGGCAGTGTCTGACTCAGCCTTCCACTTCCCAGCTTTATTCTCCTCCTTGTCCCACCTACACTTCCTGCCTAGCCAATGGCCAGTCAGTGTTTTATTTATTGACTAATTAGCAACACATTTGCCATACAGAACATCCCACAGCACTCCTGAGTGCAAAGAGTAAAGGTATGTGCCACCATTGCTTGGTCTCTATTTTTAATCTAGTGGCTTTTTCTCTTCTCTCATCTTCAAGCAAATTTTATTAGGGTACACAATATATCATCACATGGTATAAATGAATTGAGTATATGTGACATATACTTAAATATGTTTATATACAGGGAAAAAGAATCAAAATGGAAGTAAGAGACTTAATTTTCAAAAATGAAATAGGATAACAATTAATGAAGAATGGGACAATACAGGCACAAATTAACCTTAGAACAAAAACCAACATTATAAATATAAATATCAAACAGCAAACATAAATCCCAGGAAGCAAAACCAACAAAATGGGCAACATCCTCACTATATTGAGGTCCAATTGATTAGAGAACTCCAAATCTATCAGGACCATTGTTCCATTCTCCATGCTGTGTAGGCATTCAACAGTGACTCCAATGTACAAGCACAAGGCCCAGCTGCAGGCAGTGCCCCTTATGGACTAGTATCTAGTATTCTTCATACTGCCTCTTTGCAATTTTACCATAAGCAACCAGCCAATCATGACTTGTCAGATTGTTTATTCTCAGCTTCTATACCATAACAGAGTCCCTGTTATTTTTTACCATGACTGTGATCAAGTCCCACTTAAGAATCAATTCCTGGGACAAAGGGATTATTGCACTCACACTTTCAACAGACCTAGAAACCAAAGGTCTGGGAACATCTAGTTCCTTATAGAGCTGGGTTGTTAGGTGTCTTGTGACATTGCATTAGGAGTTCTCTATCCACCAGTGACTTACTCCTAGAAAGCTTCACCTCTGTGGCTTCCACAACTCTCCAAGCAGCACTAGCTACTGGACACCAAGCGCTCAAAAGGCCTGAGATAAGGTTAACAAAACCACTGTGGTAGTTTGCATGAGAAATGTCCCTACAGTCTGGGCATTTGACCATCAGGTTTTGGCCTATTTGGGGAACATAAGGTGGTATAGCCATGGAGTGGTCAATAACAACAGAGTAACTTAGACAATGATTCAATTTCCCTCTTCCTCTTTCTCTCTGGAGTTTATTGGAATTACTTACAGGCTACAGTCCAGCTAACTCAACAATGGTTGACTTGAACTGAAAGTTGATGAATCCAGGAGAGGCTTGGTCCACAAATCTGGATTTCTTGACTGGTCTTCAGTATATGCTGAATCCCAAAGAAGTAGGACCGAATTCCACTGAAGGAATGGGCTTGGTAACAAGGCAAGGGCAAGGGAGAAATGAGCAAAAGCCTCCTTCTTCCATGTCCTTATATACTCTTCCTGCAGAAGGTGTGGCCAGAATTAAAGGTGTGTCTTCTTGCCTCAAGATCTGGATTAAAGGTGTGTGTCTTAACACCTAGAGATCCTCCTTAAAGATAGGTGTTTCCCTGCTCTTGATCCAGAAGAAACCAAGCAAAACATAATCTCTCACAGGTGTGTCCTCCATTTCTGGATTGTAGTTCATTCCATATGCAGTCAAGTTGACAACCAAAAATAGCCTTCACAGTGGCAGAAGTCTATCACTGGGATTGTCCTTGAGATTAAGGTCAATAACTAGCCTAGCCTTCTCCATTAGCTCTCTCTGCTTCCTGATTTAATTTGAAGATTTTAGGCTCTCACCTTTGCACTCAGACCTTAAGGACATTGGAAAACTGCATAGTGACACACAGTATATTTTTGTGCCCAATAAGCTTTACATGCAAATATTCAATGTAATTAGTCATTGGTCTGTTTTCTTTTTTTATCTTTTGTTTTGGAGAGAGGGTTTGTCTTTGTAACAGCTCTGGTTTTCCTGGAACTCCATTTGTAAACCAGGTTGCCCTTGAACTCCACAGAGATCTGCCTGCCTCTGCCTTGAGAATGTTGGGATTAAAGCCCAGATCCACCACTACCTGGTATTTTTTGGTTTTCTTTTTTTTTTTTAACCATAAATACAGGACTGTGGTGATATTTTATCTGTGTCCCCCAATAAATTTTATCTGAGGATCAGAGGAAAAAGCCAGCCACTATATTAGACATAGTATTCAGGGAATGATAGCACATGCCTTTAATCCTATCACTAAGGAGTCAGGGATCTGTCTGGATCACTGTGAGTTCAAGGCCACACTGGGAACAGAGCCAGAAGTGATTGCACATGCCTTAATTTCCAACACTATTGAACCATAAAGGTCTGGAGGTCTGTACAGACAGACAGAAAGTGACAGAGCTGGGCATGAAGAGGAAGTGATGTATCTGGGCAGAGGGAGGAAATGAGTTAGCAGAAGAAAAAGGAATATAGGTGTGTGTATACAGGAAGTGGTCTCTTTGGAAGCAGAGGGTGGTTGAGTTTGTCTTGCGGCTTGTCGTTTTCCTCTGAACTCTCAGCTTTAACCCCAATTTCTGGCTCTGTGTTTTGTATTAATAAGACCATTTATTAATTTGCCTACACTGGATCACCTCTTGGATTCATCTTGGATATCCTGCTATTGCCCAGACTCAGTGTGAACTTGTAGTCAGGCTGGGCTTTGGGTTGGTGGTTAGTGGGCTGTGGTGGAAAGTTCCTTGTTAATTCCTGGCTGCTAAACAAACTTTCCTTGATGTTGTCTTCCTCAAGGCTTGCCAGGCTCTACCTTTATGCTTGTAGTCTGCAGGAAGTGCCACTGTCCTACCCCACCCCCTGCTACCACCAGGTAGTTCTCCCAGCAGTTCAAGCAGTGCTGCCATAGCACATCATCCCCAGTTAGGGTCTGGCAGGTGCATCTAGGTCCTGGGCTATTTAGGGTTGACAACTGGTTCTGCAAGACCTGCTCCTCCAAGTGTTCCAGCAGCTTGTAGATAGAGTAATTGTTGGGATTGATGGACTCAAAGCACTGGATCTGGGCCCTGATGGCACCAGAGTTGATCAGCCTACTAAGAACTTTGTGGTGATATTTTATTGGTGCACTTCAATAAAGCTTGTTTGGGGATTAGTGTAAAAAGTGAGCCAATATATTAAACAAAGATGTCAGGCATTGGCAGTGGTAGTACATGCCTTTAATCATTGCATTCAGGAGGCAGAGAATCATCTGGATCTCTGTGAGTTCAAGTCCACACTGGGAACAGAGCCATGTGTGGTGGCTCATGCCTTTAATCCCAGTGGTAGTTAACCAAAGAGGTCTGGAGGTCTGTACAGACAGACAGGAAGTGATAGAGCTGGGTGGAAAGAGGAAGTGATGTAGCTGGGAGGAGTGAGGAAGTAAGGTGACAGAGCACAGAAAGGCATATAGGTGTGAATATACAGGAAGTAGCTCTCTCTTTGCTGAGGATTTTCTAGCAGTCAGAACGTGGCTGTCTCCTTTGTGCTTCTCTGATCTCTCAGTTTTGACCACAACATCTGGCTCAGGGACTTTTTTTTATTAATAAGACCATTTAGCAATTGGTTTTACAGAACTCCCATCATTCATGCAGGACTTCAGAACATTCCTTTAAGTGTTTCACATTCGTTTGAGTTTCTCCCTTTGAAAATTCTGTTTAGGTGTACCCCATTTTAGATGGAGTTTTCGGGTTTTTTGATATCTAGTTATTGATTTCTTTATATATTGTGTATATATATATATATATATATATATATATATATATATATATATATATATATATATGTATGTATATATCCCTCTGTTGGATGTGTAGTCAGTGAAAATGTATCCTTTTCTTTAGGCTGACACTTTGAAGGACAGTGTCCTTTGCTGTGCAGAAGCTTCTCAGTTTCATGAGTTCAATTTATTAATTGTTGATCTTAGTATGTGTACTAACAGTGTTCTCTCTTCAGAAAGTTTTCCTGTGCCAATGAGTCCAAGGCTATTCTCCATTTTATCTTCATTAGGTTCTGTTTATCTTTTTCTATGGTGAGATCTTTTGTCTATTTCCAGTTGAGTTTTGTGCAGGGTGATCAATATGCATCTATTTGGATTTTTCTAAATGTAGCCATCCAGTTTGACCAGTAGCATTAGTTAAAGATGTTGTCTAATTTCCAGTGTGTGTTTCTGGTTTCTCTCTCAAAAATCTGGTTGCCATAGGTGTGTGGCTATGTATCTTGATCTTCAATTCGATTAAATGGATCAGCACATGTCTTTTGGGGTTCATGCCATGCTGTTTTTATGACTATAACTCTGTAGTCCAACTAAAAATAAAAAAATAGTTGTATCTCTTACAGTTATTTTATGACTCAGGATTCTTTTAGCAATCCTAGGTTTTTTGTTTTTCCATATGAAGCTGAAAATTGTCCTTTCAAGATCTGTGAAAAAATGCTGTGGACTTTTAGTGGGGGTTGTATTGAGTTTGTAAATTGGTTTTGGTAGGATGACTCTTTTTATTATATTAATCCTACTGGTCCATGAGCATGGGAGATTTTCCATCTTCTGATATCTTCTTTTTCTTTTTTTCACTCATACATGTCTTTGTTAGTTTTACCCAGAGTTACTGTATATTATTTGAGGCTGTTGCGAATGGTATTGTTTCCCTGATTTTTTTTCTCATTTGGCTTTTCAATTTTAAATAGGAGGGCTACTGAGTTTTGTAAGTTAATTTGTATGCAGCTTCTTTGTTGAATGTGTGATTCGGCTATAGGAGTTTCTGAGTGGAAACTTTATGACCACTTATGTATACTATGATATCATTGGCAAAGAAAGCTACCTTGACCTCTTCCTTTCCCATTATGTCCCCTCGATCTCCTTCAGTTGTCTTCTTGCTCTAGCTAAGACATCAAGTACTATATTGAAGAGGGATGGAGAGAGTGGAAAACCTGTCTCATTACTGATTTTAGTAGAATTGCTTTGAATTACTCTCCATTTAAGTTGATGTTGGTTTTCGACTTGCTGTAGCCTGTCTTTATTCTGTTTAGGAAAGCCCTTGTATCTCTAATCTCTTCAGGACTTTTATCATGAAGGGGTATTGGATTTTTTCCCAAGGCCTTTTCTATATCTAATGAGTTGAATATGTGGTTATGTGTTTTAATATTTGTACTGTGGATCATATTTATTGATTGATGTGTCTTGAATGATCCATACATCTATGGGATGAAGCCAGTTTGATCATGGTGGATAATCTTTTTTTTAAATTTTGTTCAGATTCCTTTGGATTCTTCTTCTTTTTTTTTTTAACTTAGGTTGTTTTTTAATAAGAAAATTTTTTGTTCATTTTACACAACAATCAAAGACCCCCCTCTTCCCTCCCGCCATTCCCCACAAATCAGAACATGACACTTCCCTTGTATGAATATGGCGTCTATGATGGTCAGGCAGGGGTTTATATAGTAGGTGTAAGGATCATGCCCTCACTCCTGGGGGTCTTGCGTCTTAAGTCATTAGGGGCGCTGGCGACAACGTAAGTGTTCACACAATCTGAGCCTTAAAAAATGCCAGCCATGGAACCCATTCTCGCTCTCTCTTCCCTGCTCTACTCTGCTCCCATCCCCTCCACCATCTTCTTCTCTCACCAGGTCTGGTCCCCTTCCCCCCACCCCTTTTCCCTCCTAATAAAGCTCTAAAAACTGCCACTGGGTTCTTTTGTGACTGTGACCTTTCCGTGAGGTAAACAGCACCGCAACCACGGCCATTGATTATCCTTCCTCTAGGTTGTAAGAACTGATTGGTGTATATAAAGGGGCCTAAAGATGATGGAGAAGGGTTCTGTACCAGGACCTGACATGTAGACTTGTATGCATATGTTGGTCTTTTACTATAGTAGAGAGGTTCTCTAGCAGGGACTGTGAACTAAAGTATGTATAGCAATCTCTTTGTAAAGCGGGCATGCTTAATGGGTCTTGTAGTCTAGATGTGTGTGTGTGTGTGTGTGTGTGTGTGTGTGTGTGTGTGTGTGTGTGTGTGAATCTAGAGAAAGAGAGAGAAAGAACGGAGAGAGAAGAGAGGGGTTTGCTATGGCAGTAGGGGAGGGAATACCCGACAAGAACTGGTACACAGACCTATATGCATATTTGGGGCTTTGTTTATAGAAAGTGTGGTACTGGGCAGGTCCTGAACATTAGCAATGTGGAAGGCTTAGAATTTATGGTTGTATACCTAGCAGACCGTGACACCAAGTTGTATGTATTCATGCATTCATGTGAGTGTTTGTGTGTGTGTTGCTTTGACTGTAGGGGAGATATACCTGGCAGGTGCCCTCTGAGATAGTATATTTGTGATTTACAAAAGGATATTTATTAAAATAACATAGTCAAGAGACAACAGAGGAGAACATCTTGGTGGCCAAAGAACTAACTGGGTCTCTTGTGGACTGCACTATCCTCTCATTTCTTTGTGGCTTACACATGGATTCAGGGCTCACAATGGAGTGGGCATGGAGCAGGAAAACAGTGCTCTCAGTGCCTGGGAAATTCTCTTCTTCATCAGCTTCCAGCCCCTGAGTGACATGGATCCAGTTGTTGTAGGTTCATCCTGGGGCTGGTCATTGGATGTGTTGGGCCCCATGAATGATTCCTCTGTGGAGAAGCCTATGTTCAGAAACCATGTGTGTGTTCAATCCGGGGCTGATTCACCTGAGGAGAGATCACCAGGCAGGTTCTCCACAGAATTCCTGTTGACTGCAATGTGTCCTGCAGCACTGTTGATGACATTAGCCATCGGGACATCTGCTTGTGGGACAGTTTCATCTGAACAGGGCTTTTTCTCCTGGCTTGAGTATCTATTGAGCATGGTGTATCTTGCGTCTCTTCCCATCTCCCATACTTGTTGGAAAGGCAGGTTCACTGGCTCTTCTCTTCAAGGGGAGAAGGGGCCAAAGAGCACCTACAGGGTTGCCATTTAAGCAGGGATCCTGATTCTGCTGATGGCTGTTCCCACAGCTCAGTTTGTATTTGAGGATATTGAAGGTTGCCGTTAATTTATTTGGTTGCTTGTGTTTCAGAGATGATACAATCTCCTCAGGGGTGTAGCCCATGGTGCACATGGTCTCCATGACCTTCAGAAGGATTTCCAAAGTTGCAGGTGCTGCATGTTCTTTGATGTTGCCCAGCCATGGTCTTTCCTGGAGCTGACATATTGTTATTCTGTGCTGGTTGGGGACCTTGAGTAATTGTTCAATGAGAATGATGCAGGGTTTTGACAAGTGGTAGGGAATGGGATACTTTGTGGTGGTGATGACCCTGTACATACCTTCAAAGGTGGTTTCGTCATATGGAAATTGTCCTGTGACCAGTACATATAGGAGGACTCCCAAGCTCCACATATCTACTGCCAATCCATCATAGGGTTTCCTTGCCAAAATCTCTGGAGCCAAATAGAGCAAGGAGCCACAGACTCCCTCCAACATCTGCCCCTCTGCCAGCTGTCTGGCCATACCAAAGTCACAAAGCTTGACATTGCCAGCTTCGTCAATAAGGATATTTTCCAATTTAATATCACGATGGGCAATTTGTTTATGGTGGAGAAAATGAACCCCTGAAACGACCTGTTGGAATATTGGTCTAACCTCATCCTCCACTAGAAAATGCCTCTCCCCGAGGAACACAAACAGATCCTTTCCTGGAACATATTCCATGATTAGGTAAGTTATTGTACTTGTGTTAATAACATGAAAGAAATGAACTATGTTTCTGTGTTCCACAGATTGAAGTATCTCTACTTCAGTGTTGATGCGATCCAGGGAATTCTTTTCCTTCTCCAGGACCTTGACAGCCACCTGTGTATGTGTAGGAAGGTGGCAGGCAAGCTTCACCTCCCCAAATCCACCAGAGGCTAGAGATGTTAAGATCCTGAAATCCTTTTCAAGGATGTTTTCTTCCAAACGGCTGGCCATGATGTTCAACTCCATTTCAATCACTTTATCTTGTTGGCAATTGCTGGGACTTACAATACCTGAAACAAAAATAAATGCAATTTCAGAATGGATGTTTAGTGCTATGAATTCTGTCATGGAATGTGGGACATCCCAAACAATCTAATGATGCAGGTCAAGGACATAGAAACACTAGAAGAACACAACCTCCAAGCACTAGATGAGGAATCATAGTAAAGGTCAAAGATGGAATTGCTGATTTATATGTGCAAAGGAAAAGACTGAGATCAGAGATAGAATGACTTGGTCATTTTTCAAGAATGTATCCAAATGAAAAATCCTGGCCCAAACTGATCAAGAGATTGAAAATACAAACTTACAGGGAAAAAAAGGAGGTTACGTCCTAACCAAACTACAGTCCTGAGGATCTTTCACATTTGTGTCAACTCCTAGACGCCAGGAAATTAGAAAATATGAAAAGAATATGTTTAAATACAGGGAAAAAGAATCGAAATGCAAGTAAGAGACTTAATTTTCAAAAATGAAATAGGGTAACAATTTATGAAGAATGGGACAATACAGGCACAAATTAACCCTTCACATTTGTGGCCTCCAAACTTTCCAAGCAGCACTAGCTACTGGAAACCAAGTGCTCAAAAGGCCTGAGATAAGGTTAACAAAACCACTGTGGTAGTTTGCATGAGAAATGTCCCTCCAGTCTGGGCATTTGACCACCAGTTTTGGCCTACTTGGGGAATGTCAGGTGGCAGAGCCTTGGTGATTGTATTAGTCAGAGTTCTCAATAACAACAGAGTAACTTACACAATGATTCAATCTCCACCCCCCCCTCTCTCTCTCTCTCTTTCTGGAGTTTATTGGAGTTACTTACAGGCTACAGTCCAGCTAATCCGACAATGGGTGACTGTGAACTGAAAGTCTCTGAATCCAGGAGAGGCTTGGTCCACAAAGCTGAATCTCTTGGCTGGTCTTCAGTGTATGCTCAATCCCAAAGAAGTAGAAACAATTTCACTGAAGAAATGGGCTTGGTAACAAGGCAAGGGCAAGGGAGAAATGAGCAAAGGCCTCCTTCTTCCATGTCCTTATATACTCTTCCTGCAGAAGGTGTGGCCAGAATTAAAGGTGTGTCTTCTTGCATCAAGATCTGGATTAAAGGTGTGTGTCTTAACACCTAGAGATCCTCATTAAATGTGTGTTTCTCTGCTCTTGATCTAGAATAAAACAAACAAAAAATAATCTCTCACAGGTGTGTCCTCCATTTCTGGATTGTAGTTCATTCCAGATGCAGTCAAGTTGACAACCAAAAATAGCCATCACAGTGGCAGAAGTCCATCCTAGGGATTGTCCTTGAGATTAAGGACATTAACTAGCCTAGCCTACTCCATTAGCTCTCTCTGCTTCCTGATTTAATTTGAAGATTTTAGGCTTTCACCTTTGCACTCAGACCTTAAGGACATTGGAAAACTGCAGTGTGTCACATTGCATATTATTGTGCCCAATCAGCTTTACATGCAAATATTCATTTTAAATAGTCATTGGTCTGTTTTCTTATTTAACCTTGTTTTTTTTTTGAGACAGGGTTTCAGCTCTGGTTATCCTGGAACTCTATTTGTAAACCAGGTTGCCCTTGAACTCCACAGAGATCTGCCTGCCTCTGCCTTGAGAATGTTGGGATTAAAGCCCAGATCCACCACTACCTGGTATTTTCTGGTTTTCTTTTTTTTTTTTTTTACCATAAATACTTGACTGTGGTGATATTTTATCTGTATCCCCCAATAAATTTTATCTGAGGATCAGAGGAAAAAGCCAGCCACTATATTAGACAGAATTCAGGGAATGATAGCACATGATTTAATCCTATCACTAAGGATGCAGGGATCAGTCTGGATCACTGTTAGTTCAAGGCCACACTGGGAACAGAGCCAGAAGTGGCTGCACATGCCTTAATTTCCAACACTATTGAACCATAAAGGTCTGGAGGTCTGTACAGACAGACAGAAAGTGACAGAGCTGGGCATGAAGAGGAAGTGATGTATCTGGGCAGAGGGAGGAAATGAGTTAGCAGAAGAAAAAGGAATATAGGTGTGTGTATACAGGAAGTGGTCTCTTTGGAAGCAGAGGGTGGTTGAGTTTGTCTTGCGGCTTGTCGTTTTCCTCTGAACTCTCAGCTTTAACCCCAATTTCTGGCTCTGTGTTTTGTATTAATAAGACCATTTATTAATTTGCCTACACTGGATCACCTCTTGGACTCATCTTGGATATCCTGCTGTTGCCCAGACTCAGTGTGAACTTGTAGTCAGGCTGGGCTTTGGGTTGGTGGTTAGTGGGCTGTGGTGGAAAGTTCCTTGTTAATTCCTGGCTGCTAAACAAACTTTCCTTGATGTTGTCTTCCTCAAGGCTTGCCAGGCTCTACCTTTATGCTTGTAGTCTGCAGGAAGTGCCACTGTCCTACCCCACCCCCTGCTACCACCAGGTGGTTCTCCCAGCAGTTCAAGCAGTGCTGCCATAGCACATCATCCCCAGTTAGGGTCTGGCAGGTGCATCTAGGTCCTGGGCTATTTAGGGTTGACAACTGGTTCTGCAAGACCTGCTCCTCCAAGTGTTCCAGCAGCTTGTAGATAGAGTAATTGTTGGGATTGATGGACTCAAAGCACTGGATCTGGGCCCTGATGGCACCAGAGTTGATCAGCCTACTAAGAACTTTGTGGTGATATTTTATTGGTGCACTTCAATAAAGCTTGTCTGGGAATTAGAGTAAAAAGTGAGCCAATATATTAAACAAAGATGTCAGGCATTGGCAGTGGTAGTACATGCCTTTAATCATTGCATTCAGGAGGCAGAGAATCATCTGGATCTCTGTGAGTTCAAGTCCACACTGGGAACAGAGCCATGTGTGGTGGCTCACGCCTTTAATCCCAGTGGTAGTTAACCAAAGAGGTCTGGAGGTCTGTACAGACAGACAGGAAGTGATAGAGCTCTGTGGAAAGAGGAAGTGATGTAGCTGGGAGGAGTGAGGAAGTAAGGTGGCAGAGCACACAAAGGCATATAGGTGTGAATATACAGGAAGTAGCTGTCTCTTTGCTGAGGATTTTCTAGCAGTCAGAATGTGCATTGTCTTCTCTGATCTCTCAGTTTTGACCACAACATCTGGCTCAGGGATTTTTTTTTTTATTAATAAGACCATTTAGCAATTGGTTTTACAGAACTCCCATCATTCATGCAGGACTTCAGAACATTCTTTTAAGTGTTTCACATTCATTTGAGTTTCTCCCTTTGAAAATTCTGTTTAGGTGTACCCCATTTTAGATGGAGTTTTCGGGTTTTTTGATATCTAGTTATTGATTTCTTTATATATTGTGTATATATATATATATATATATATATATATATGTATGTATATATCCCTCTGTTGGATGTGTAGTCAGTGAAAATGTATCCTTTTCTTTAGGCTGACACTTTGAAGGACAGTGTCCTTTGCTGTGCAGAAGCTTCTCAGTTTCATGAGTTCAATTTATTAATTGTTGATCTTAGTATGTGTACTAACAGTGTTCTCTCTTCAGAAAGTTTTCCTGTGCCAATGAGTCCAAGGCTATTCTCCATTTTATCTTCATTAGGTTCTGTTTATCTTTTTCTATGGTGAGATCTTTTGTCTATTTCCAGTTGAGTTTTGTGCAGGGTGATCAATATGCATCTATTTGGATTTTTCTAAATGTAGCCATCCAGTTTGACCAGTAGCATTAGTTAAAGATGTTGTCTAATTTCCAGTGTGTGTTTCTGGTTTCTCTCTCAAAAATCTGGTTGCCATAGGTGTGTGGCTATGTATCTTGATCTTCAATTCGATTAAATGGATCAGCACATGTCTTTTGGGGTTCATGCCATGCTGTTTTTATGACTATAACTCTGTAGTCCAACTAAAAATAAAAAAATAGTTGTATCTCTTACAGTTATTTTATGACTCAGGATTCTTTTAGCAATCCTAGGTTTTTTGTTTTTCCATATGAAGCTGAAAATTGTCCTTTCAAGATCTGTGAAAAAATGCTGTGGACTTTTAGTGGGGGTTGTATTGAGTTTGTAAATTGGTTTTGGTAGGATGACTCTTTTTATTATATTAATCCTACTGGTCCATGAGCATGGGAGATTTTCCATCTTCTGATATCTTCTTTTTCTTTTTTTCACTCATACATGTCTTTGTTAGTTTTACCCAGAGTTACTGTATATTATTTGAGGCTGTTGCGAATGGTATTGTTTCCCTGATTTTTTTTCTCATTTGGCTTTTCAATTTTAAATAGGAGGGCTACTGAGTTTTGTAAGTTAATTTGTATGCAGCTTCTTTGTTGAATGTGTGATTCGGCTATAGGAGTTTCTGAGTGGAAACTTTATGACCACTTATGTATACTATGATATCATTGGCAAAGAAAGCTACCTTGACCTCTTCCTTTCCCATTATGTCCCCTCGATCTCCTTCAGTTGTCTTCTTGCTCTAGCTAAGACATCAAGTACTATATTGAAGAGGGATGGAGAGAGTGGAAAACCTGTCTCATTACTGATTTTAGTAGAATTGCTTTGAATTACTCTCCATTTAAGTTGATGTTGGTTTTCGACTTGCTGTAGCCTGTCTTTATTCTGTTTAGGAAAGCCCTTGTATCTCTAATCTCTTCAGGACTTTTATCATGAAGGGGTATTGGATTTTTTCCCAAGGCCTTTTCTATATCTAATGAGTTGAATATGTGGTTATGTGTTTTAATATTTGTACTGTGGATCATATTTATTGATTGATGTGTCTTGAATGATCCATACATCTATGGGATGAAGCCAGTTTGATCATGGTGGATAATCTTTTTTTTAAATTTTGTTCAGATTCCTTTGGATTCTTCTTCTTTTTTTTTTAACTTAGGTTGTTTTTTAATAAGAAAATTTTTTGTTCATTTTACACAACAATCAAAGACCCCCCTCTTCCCTCCCGCCATTCCCCACAAATCAGAACATGACACTTCCCTTGTATGAATATGGCGTCTATGATGGTCAGGCAGGGGTTTATATAGTAGGTGTAAGGATCATGCCCTCACTCCTGGGGGTCTTGCGTCTTAAGTCATTAGGGGCGCTGGCGACAACGTAAGTGTTCACACAATCTGAGCCTTAAAAAATGCCAGCCATGGAACCCATTCTCGCTCTCTCTTCCCTGCTCTACTCTGCTCCCATCCCCTCCACCATCTTCTTCTCTCACCAGGTCTGGTCCCCTTCCCCCCACCCCTTTTCCCTCCTAATAAAGCTCTAAAAACTGCCACTGGGTTCTTTTGTGACTGTGACCTTTCCGTGAGGTAAACAGCACCGCAACCACGGCCATTGATTATCCTTCCTCTAGGTTGTAAGAACTGATTGGTGTATATAAAGGGGCCTAAAGATGATGGAGAAGGGTTCTGTACCAGGACCTGACATGTAGACTTGTATGCATATGTTGGTCTTTTACTATAGTAGAGAGGTTCTCTAGCAGGGACTGTGAACTAAAGTATGTATAGCAATCTCTTTGTAAAGCGGGCATGCTTAATGGGTCTTGTAGTCTAGATGTGTGTGTGTGTGTGTGTGTGTGTGTGTGTGTGTGTGTGTGTGTGTGTGTGTGTGTGAATCTAGAGAAAGAGAGAGAAAGAACGGAGAGAGAAGAGAGGGGTTTGCTATGGCAGTAGGGGAGGGAATACCCGACAAGAACTGGTACACAGACCTATATGCATATTTGGGGCTTTGTTTATAGAAAGTGTGGTACTGGGCAGGTCCTGAACATTAGCAATGTGGAAGGCTTAGAATTTATGGTTGTATACCTAGCAGACCGTGACACCAAGTTGTATGTATTCATGCATTCATGTGAGTGTTTGTGTGTGTGTTGCTTTGACTGTAGGGGAGATATACCTGGCAGGTGCCCTCTGAGATAGTATATTTGTGATTTACAAAAGGATATTTATTAAAATAACATAGTCAAGAGACAACAGAGGAGAACATCTTGGTGGCCAAAGAACTAACTGGGTCTCTTGTGGACTGCACTATCCTCTCATTTCTTTGTGGCTTACACATGGATTCAGGGCTCACAATGGAGTGGGCATGGAGCAGGAAAACAGTGCTCTCAGTGCCTGGGAAATTCTCTTCTTCATCAGCTTCCAGCCCCTGAGTGACATGGATCCAGTTGTTGTAGGTTCATCCTGGGGCTGGTCATTGGATGTGTTGGGCCCCATGAATGATTCCTCTGTGGAGAAGCCTATGTTCAGAAACCATGTGTGTGTTCAATCCGGAGCTGATTCACCTGAGGAGAGATCACCAGGCAGGTTCTCCACAGAATTCCTGTTGACTGCAATGTGTCCTGCAGCACTGTTGATGACATTAGCCATCGGGACATCTGCTTGTGGGACAGTTTCATCTGAACAGGGCTTTTTCTCCTGGCTTGAGTATCTATTGAGCATGGTGTATCTTGCATCTCTTCCCATCTCCCATACTTGTTGGAAAGGCAGGTTCACTGGCTCTTCTCTTCAAGGGGAGAAGGGGCCGAAGAGCACCTACAGGGTTGCCATTTAAGCAGGGATCCTGATTCTGCTGATGGCTGTTCCCACAGCTCAGTTTGTATTTGAGGATATTGAAGGTTGCCGTTAATTTATTTGGTTGCTTGTGTTTCAGAGATGATACAATCTCCTCAGGGGTGTAGCCCATGGTGCACATGGTCTCCATGACCTTCAGAAGGATTTCCAAAGTTGCAGGTGCTGCATGTTCTTTGATGTTGCCCAGCCATGGTCTTTCCTGGAGCTGACATATTGTTATTCTGTGCTGGTTGGGGACCTTGAGTAATTGTTCAATGAGAATGATGCAGGGTTTTGACAAGTGGTAGGGAATGGGATACTTTGTGGTGGTGATGACCCTGTACATACCTTCAAAGGTGGTTTCGTCATATGGAAATTGTCCTGTGACCAGTACATATAGGAGGACTCCCAAGCTCCACATATCTACTGCCAATCCATCATAGGGTTTCCTTGCCAAAATCTCTGGAGCCAAATAGAGCAAGGAGCCACAGACTCCCTCCAACATCTGCCCCTCTGCCAGCTGTCTGGCCATACCAAAGTCACAAAGCTTGACATTGCCAGCTTCGTCAATAAGGATATTTTCCAATTTAATATCACGATGGGCAATTTGTTTATGGTGGAGAAAATGAACCCCTGAAACGACCTGTTGGAATATTGGTCTAACCTCATCCTCCACTAGAAAATGCCTCTCCCCGAGGAACACAAACAGATCCTTTCCTGGAACATATTCCATGATTAGGTAAGTTATTGTACTTGTGTTAATAACATGAAAGAAATGAACTATGTTTCTGTGTTCCACAGATTGAAGTATCTCTACTTCAGTGTTGATGCGATCCAGGGAATTCTTTTCCTTCTCCAGGACCTTGACAGCCACCTGTGTATGTGTAGGAAGGTGGCAGGCAAGCTTCACCTCCCCAAATCCACCAGAGGCTAGAGATGTTAAGATCCTGAAATCCTTTTCAAGGATGTTTTCTTCCAAACGGCTGGCCATGATGTTCAACTCCATTTCAATCACTTTATCTTGTTGGCAATTGCTGGGACTTACAATACCTGAAACAAAAATAAATGCAATTTCAGAATGGATGTTTAGTGCTATGAATTCTGTCATGGAATGTGGGACATCCCAAACAATCTAATGATGCAGGTCAAGGACATAGAAACACTAGAAGAACACAACCTCCAAGCACTAGATGAGGAATCATAGTAAAGGTCAAAGATGGAATTGCTGATTTATATGTGCAAAGGAAAAGACTGAGATCAGAGATAGAATGACTTGGTCATTTTTCAAGAATGTATCCAAATGAAAAATCCTGGCCCAAACTGATCAAGAGATTGAAGATACAAACTTACAGGGAAAAAAAGGAGGTTATGTCCTAACCAAACTACAGTCCTGAGGATCTTTCACATTTGTGTCAACTCCTAGACGCCAGGAAATTAGAAAATATGAAAAGAATATGTTTAAATACAGGGAAAAAGAATCGAAATGCAAGTAAGAGACTTAATTTTCAAAAATGAAATAGGGTAACAATTTATGAAGAATGGGACAATACAGGCACAAATTAACCCTTCACATTTGTGGCCTCCAAACTTTCCAAGCAGCACTAGCTACTGGAAACCAAGTGCTCAAAAGGCCTGAGATAAGGTTAACAAAACCACTGTGGTAGTTTGCATGAGAAATGTCCCTCCAGTCTGGGCATTTGACCACCAGTTTTGGCCTACTTGGGGAATGTCAGGTGGCAGAGCCTTGGTGATTGTATTAGTCAGAGTTCTCAATAACAACAGAGTAACTTACACAATGATTCAATCTCCCTCCCCCCCCCCCCTCTCTCTCTCTCTGGAGTTTATTGGAGTTACTTACAGGCTACAGTCCAGCTAATCCGACAATGGGTGACTGTGAACTGAAAGTCTCTGAATCCAGGAGAGGCTTGGTCCACAAAGCTGAATCTCTTGGCTGGTCTTCAGTGTATGCTCAATCCCAAAGAAGTAGAAACAATTTCACTGAAGAAATGGGCTTGGTAACAAGGCAAGGGCAAGGGAGAAATGAGCAAAGGCCTCCTTCTTCCATGTCCTTATATACTCTTCCTGCAGAAGGTGTGGCCAGAATTAAAGGTGTGTCTTCTTGCCTCAAGATCTGGATTAAAGGTGTGTGTCTTAACACCTAGAGATCCTCATTAAATGTGTGTTTCTCTGCTCTTGATCTAGAATAAACCAAGCAAAAAATAATCTCTCACAGGTGTGTCCTCCATTTCTGGATTGTAGTTCATTCCAGATGCAGTCAAGTTGACAACCAAAAATAGCCATCACAGTGGCAGAAGTCCATCCTAGGGATTGTCCTTGAGATTAAGGACATTAACTAGCCTAGCCTACTCCATTAGCTCTCTCTGCTTCCTGATTTAATTTGAAGATTTTAGGCTTTCACCTTTGCACTCAGACCTTAAGGACATTGGAAAACTGCAGTGTGTCACATTGCATATTATTGTGCCCAATCAGCTTTACATGCAAATATTCATTTTAAATAGTCATTGGTCTGTTTTCTTATTTAACCTTGTTTTTTTTTGAGACAGGGTTTCAGCTCTGGTTATCCTGGAACTCTATTTGTAAACCAGGTTGCCCTTGATCTCCACAGAGATCTGCCTGCCTCTGCCTTGAGAATGTTGGGATTAAAGCCCAGATCCACCACTACCTGGTATTTTCTGGTTTTCTTTTTTTTTTTTTTTTTACCATAAATACTGGACTGTGGTGATATTTTATCTGTGTCCCCCAATAAATTTTATCTGAGGATCAGAGGAAAAAGCCAGCCACTATATTAGACAGAATTCAGGGAATGATAGCACATGATTTAATCCTATCACTAAGGATGCAGGGATCAGTCTGGATCACTGTGAGTTCAAGGCCACACTGGGAACAGAGCCAGAAGTGGCTGCACATGCCTTAATTTCCAACACTATTGAACCATAAAGGTCTGGAGGTCTGTACAGACAGACAGAAAGTGACAGAGCTGGGCATGAAGAGGAAGTGATGTATCTGGGCAGAGGGAGGAAATGAGTTAGCAGAAGAAAAAGGAATATAGGTGTGTGTATACAGGAAGTGGTCTCTTTGGAAGCAGAGGGTATTTGAGGTGAGGTTGGCTTATGGCTTGTTATTTTCCTCTGATCTCTCAGTTTTAACCCCAATTTCTGGCTCTGTGTTTTGTATTAATTTGCCTATACTGGATCACCATTTGGACTCATCTCAGATATCCTGCTGTTGCCCAGACTCAGTCTGAACTTGTGGTCAGGCAGGGCTTTGGGTTGGGGGGTGGTGGGTTGGGGTGGAAAGTTCCTTGTTAATTCCAGGCTGCTACCTACCTCTCTTTCCTTGATGTTGTCCTCCTCACCTTGATGTTGGCCTCCTCAAGGCTTGCCAGGCTCTACCTTTATGCTTGTCGCCTGCAGGCAGCACCACTGTCCTCCCCACCCCCACCCCTGCTACCACCAGGGGGGTCTCCCAGCAGGGCAAGCAGTGCTGACACAGCTACATTAGCCCCAAGTTAGGGGCTGCCAGAGGACCGGGACCTGCACTATTTAGAATTGACATCTAGTTCTGCAGGACCAGCTCCTCCATGTTCTCCAGTAGCTTGTGGATGGAGTAGTTGTTGGTGTGCATGGATTCAAAGCACTGGATCTGGGCACCGATGGCACCAGAGTTGGTCAGCCTCCTTGGGGCCTGTACCAGTCATGCAGGACTTTAGAACATTTCTTTAAGTGTTTCATATTCATTTAAGTTTTCTCTTTTAAAAATTCTGTTTAGGTTGTACTCATTTTTAGGTGGATTATTCATTTTTTAAAAAATATCTAATTAATGAGTTCTTTATAAATTGTGAATATTATCCCTCTGTTGGATGAGTAGTTAGTGAAAATCTTACCCCATTCTGTAGGCTAAGTCTTTTAAGGACAGTGTCCTTTGCTGTGCAGAAGCTTCTCAGTTTCATGAGGTCAATTTACTAATTGTTGATCTTAGTATGTGTACTAACAGGGTTCTCTTCAGAAAGTTTTCCTGTGCCAATGAGTCCAAGGCTATTCTCCATTTTTTCTTCTATCAGTTTCCTTTTATCTGTTTCTATGGTAGATCTTTTGTCTATTTCCAGTTGAGTTTTGTGCTGGGTGATCAATATGCATCTATTTGGATTTGTCTACATGTAGCCATCCAGTTTGACCAGTAGCATTAGTTAAAGATGTCTGATTTCCAGTGTGTGTTTCTGGTTTCTCTCTCAAAAATCTGGTGTCCATAGGTGTGTGGCTTTGTGTCTTGGTCTTCAGTTTGATTACATTGATCAGCACATGTCATCTGGGGTTCATAACATGCTATGCTCTTTTTATGACTATAACCCTGTAATACAACTTGAAATAAAACATAGTGATAGCTCTCACAGTTATTTTATAACTCAGGATTCTTTCAGCAATCCTAGTTTTTTCGTGTTTCCATATGAAGCTGAAAATTGTCCTTTCAAGATCTGTGAAAAATTGTTTCGGACTTTACATTGGATTTATATTGAGTTTACAAATTGTTTTTGATAGGATGACTAATTTTACTATATTAATCATACTGATCCTTGGGCATGGGAAATCTTTCCATCTTCTGATATCTTCTTCAATGTCTTAAAGTTTTTTTTTTTTTTTTGTTTTGTTTTGTTTTTTTTCCGAGACAGGGTTTCTCTGTAGTTTTGCGCCTTTCCTGGAACTCACTTGGTAGCCCAGGCTGGCCTCGAACTCACAGAGATCCACCTGGCTCTGCCTCCCGAGTGCTGGGATTAAAGGCGTGCGCCACCACCGCCCGGCCTAAAGTTGTTTTTTTTTAATATAATACTTGTCTTTCAGTTGCTTTCAGTGTTTCCCCAAGATACTTTATATTATTTGAAGCTGTTGGTATGGTATTGCTTTTCATTTGGTTTTGCAATTTTATTTAGGAGGGATACTGATTTTTGTAAGTTAATTTGTATACAGCTTCTTTGCTGAAAGTGTTTATCAGCTGTATGTGGTGATATTTTATTCCCCAAAATATTGTGCACCCTAATAAATTTATCTGCGGTCAGAGAACAGACAGCCACTAGATACAGAGGCTAGAAAATGGTGGCACTCACACCTTTAATCCTAGCATTCCAGAGGCAGAAATCATTCTGGGATCTCTGTGAGTTCAAGGCCACATTGGAAACAGCCAGGCATGGTGACTCACGCCTTTAATCCCAGAAAGCAAAGCTTTAATCCCAAGGAGTGGTGGTAGAAAGCAGAAAGGTATATAAGGCATGAGGGCCAGAAACTAGAAGCATTTGGCTGGTTAAGCATTTTGGCTGGTTAAGCTTTTAGGTTTTGAGCAGCACAGTTCAGCTAGAGCCGTTCGGATATGAGGACACAGAGGCTTCCAGTCTGAGGAAGCAAGATCAGCTGAGAAGTTGGCCAGGTGAGGTTAGCTGTGGCTTGTTCTGTCTCTCTGATCTTCCAGCTTCACCCCAAAAACTGGCCTCAGGTTTGATTTTATTAATAAGACCTTCTAACAATTCATGCAACAGCTGTAGGAGTTTCCCAGGGGAATTTTATGGTCACATATGTATACTATGACATCCTCTCAAATAAATGTACTTTCACCTATTCCTTCCCAGTTTTTATCCCCTTGATCTCCTTCAGTTGTCTTATTGCTCTAAGACTTCAAGTACTATATTGAAGAGGTGTGGAGAGAATGGAAAACCTTGTCTTATTACTCATTTTAGTAGAATTGTTTTGAATTTCTCTCCATTTAAGTTGATGTTGGTTTTTTACTTGTTGTAGCCTGTCTTTAATCTATTTAGGTATGTCCCATGTACCCTTCATCTCTCCAGGACTTTTATCACAAAGAGGTGTTGGATTTTGTCAAAGATCTTTTTTGCATCTACTGAGATGATGGTGTGGTTTTATCTTTTAATTTGTTTGTATGGTGGGTCATATTTATTGATTTACGTGTCTTGATCCATCCATCCATCTCTGGGATACAGCCTACATGATCACAGTGGATTATCTTTGTCATGTGTTCTTGGTTTT